TTACATGTTTAACATTTTGTAACCACAGATGGTGTTGTGTTTTTATCTTTTTACATGTTCACTCCTGCTGAGATTGCCTTCCTGAAAGAATATGTGAAGACCATGAGCCCATTTGCAAAAGCAGTTGATATTCTTCAGGGAGAGGCTAGTGTGCAGATGGGATGGCTGGTACCTACAATAACACTACTCAAGACTAAGCTCCAGCACCTTCAACATTCCTCTAACTTCAGTGGGCCTTTGATAGATGTTCTTCAAATAGGACTTGAAAAGTGTTTCTAACTGATGCTTACTGATCCAGAGCTCATTGCTGCTGCCATTCTGGTCTCTAAGTTTAAGACATCTTGGACAAGTGACAATGATATCCTAAATCTTGGTAAGACTTAAAAAAGTGTTAATTTTTAAAATGTGAATTATCCATAAAATAATAGAAAATTGTTTGTCCCAAAATAAAATGTTAAAGTTGCATTTAAATTTTGCAAAAATTAGAAACCAATGCATGAATCATGATTGTGTAATGCCTGGATTATTGTAGGANTGTTAGTCACATTTAATTTTTGCAAAAATTAGAAACCAATGCATGAATCATGATTGTGTAATGCCTGGATTATTGTAGGATATATTATGAATTTTAACAAAAGTAAATTGATGATCAAGTCACTATGACTTCATGTGAATATTTCACACATTAGATAATGAATTGTGGAATCAGATACTTGATACATATGCAACAACTTAGATAAAAATATTGTCAGTTATTGTAATCTATTTCCATGATTCCATTGATGAATTGTAAAGGTGATGGATTTGGTGGAAAATCATAAAATCATTTTTTGGATTTTTGTGTTTCAAAGGGTCTTGACTTCATCAAAAGACATCTGAAGGAACAACCTGTGGTTCATCCAAATGATACAGCTCATTCTTATGAGGAGGAGGACTTCTTTTCCACCATCAAGCAGGGCAATACTCAGGAAAACTCCAGGCAGCTTGAGTCCTACCTGGCCTGTCCAGCTGACACCATGGATGTCCTGACATCTTTCCCATCTTTAATCTACATTTTATTTTTCCCAAAGTCATTTTTACACAGTTACTTGTACTTCTACTTAAGTAAGGAATGTGAGTTTTGCCATCTCTGCTGTTGAGCTGCAGTAACTGTGGCCCCCGGAGCAGTTTAGTTGAATAGCCCTGACTTAGGAGCTTAATCCGAGACCAGTTTGACGATGAATAACGTCGGGTGATGAGTCTGACTTTTGTTTTATTCCACATTGGACTCCACCGGGAAGAAATCCCGTGCATACTGCCTGGTTAAATGTTCACTACGTTAGAACTTATTCAGCAAATGTGTTTCCATCTCTGCTTTTGCACAGTAACTCTTACAGGATGGGGGGAATTGGTCTTGGCAGAGGTTTGCACTCTGAGTGGTTCTAGTTTAATGTTTTTCGTATCGAAATTTAGTGTCACTGCATAAAATGCACTAACACTCAATGACTAATATAAACATAATTATATATACAGTATAGCTAAAATAAATGCACATTTGTACAATTGAATTTTCAATCCCAGGAAGTGCAAGCTCAGGTAATCTGTCATAATAACATTTTAAATAAACAATAATAAAGGACACTGTTGAGTTCTTTTCAGTTCATCTGAGGCTGTCAGCGAGCTGGATGTTCCCCGCTGGACCCTCTTCGTCTCCCCTCGTCTGGTGGCTGCTGCTTGCTGCTCCTCTGGGTTGATGAAAATCAGAKAGCGTCTTGTCGTCGTCTGCTTGCTGGAACCTTTTTGACTGTTAAAGAAACTCTTCAGCTAACACAGGACTGGAAAAAAGACGATATCTTCAGCTTTGGACATGTTTTTTCAGCGAGAGAGATGGAAGAGGGGTCCTAACAGCGTGATGTTAAGCTGGACTCTAAACAAAAGGTGCGCACACGCCCTGAAGCGCGCGCCCGTGTCTTAAAGGCACGGTACATGAAAATACACCACATTCCCCCCTTCGATTCTTCAGAATCAACAAATAATCAAACTTCCATACAGCTCACATAAAAGACACATTGTCCAGCTGAAAATTTTCATTTGCATAATAAGGTAAATAAGAATTAAACTAAATTTTAGCCTAAAATTAAATAGGA